TAAAGGTGGTCTAGAGTATTTTTTCCTCTGGTTGCACATTTAACATGCTGGTAGAAATTAGGTAGAACGGATTTGAGTTTCCCTGCATTAAAGTCCCCGGCCACTAGGAGCGCTGCCTCTGGATGAGCTTTTCCTGTTTAGTTATGGCCTTATACAGCTCATTGAGTGCAATCTTAATGCCAGCATTGGTTTGTGGTGGTAAATAGACAGCTATGAAAAATACAGATGAAAACTCTCTTGGTAAATAGTGTGGTCTACAGCTTATCATAAGACTTCCTTAGTATTTGATTTTGTGCACCAGCTGTTGTTTACAAATATACACAGACCGCCACCCGTGGTCTTACCGGAGTCAGCCGTTCTATACTGCCGATGTAGAGTATAGCCCGCTAGCTGTATGTTGTCCATGTCGTCGTTCAGCCACGACTCAGTGAAACATAAGATATTACAGTTTTTAATGTCCCGTTGGTAGGATAATCGTACTCTTAGGTCATCTAATTTATTCTCAAATGATTTAACATTGGTTAATAGGAATGATGGAAGAGGCAGTTTACTCGCTCGCCGTCGGATCCTTACGAGGCACCCCGACTTACGTCCACGATATCTCTGTCTCTTTCTCCTGCGAATGAAGGGAGAGGATAGAGATAGAAGGGAGAGGATAGAGATAGAAGGGAGAGGATAGAGATAGCTTGAACAAAATAACAACACTGGAATACTTTTCCCTCTGCTTTTGTCCATTAGAGCTTAGCAACCAATTCTGTCCTGGGCAACCGAACCGAACACAACACACATCATTACTTACGCCCCAGTTTTCTACTTACGCTCCAGTTTTCTACAGCGCAACAGATTGAGAGGGATAGAAAATAGGAGCAGTAAAGCACAAAAAAGGTATAGCCCAATATAGGGCAGATGAATAGATTGGGCAGATAGATTGTTGAGAGAGGGAGAGAAAGAGAGAGAGAGCTACCTATGCATCTACTAGAGAGAGAGAGAGAGAGGAGAGAGAGAGAGAGAGAGACAGAGAGACAGAGAGAGAGACAGAGAGAGAAGAGAGAGGAGAGAGAGAGAGACAGAACAGAGAGACAGAGAGAGAGAAAGAGAGACAGAGATAGATAAGAGAGAGAGAGACAGAGAAAAGAGAGAGTAGAGATAAAGAGAGAGAGAACAGAGCAGGAGAAGAGCGTAGACAGATATATAAGAGATATAGATAGAGGAGAGAGAGATCTCTCTCTATAGAGAGATAGAACATCTTTCTCTCTCTTCTCCTCTCCACCCTTCTCTTGTTGAGAGAGAGAGAGAGAGAACAGCTTTCTCTTGTTACCTCCCCCACCTGTGCTGCTGTTGTAGAGAGCCAGCCTGCAGTCTGTCTGTGCCTCAGGGCCTCAGCCCACGTTTGGCCAATCAGTTTAAGATGAAAAAGAGCTCACTTAAGCAAGACATATGGACTGAATAATACATCCCCTTCATTTTCACTAGGTTGGCGTGAGAGAAAGATAGAAAGAAAGAGGAGAAAGAGAGAGCGTGCGTAGCTGATGAAAGCTCTGGCCTTCCTGAGGAAGAGTGAGTGGGAAAAAACGACCATTATGACCGGTGCCATTACACAGCCAAATATGTGATGGCATAAGTGTGCATGTAAGATTGATTGACTGGAAATTGATGCCTAGCCTATTAATGCACGGAAGGTCCTATCGAGAAATCACATAGGCCTAATTAATGAATAACAAAGGAGGTCCCAATACTGGTAGCAGCAGCAGCAGCACTGCGCAGTAGCCTAGGCCTAGACCTACAGTATATTGTGCTGAACACAGGCCTCTGTGATGTTTGAATACCCAGCCACCTACATGCTTAGAAACAGCTGAACGGTAACCTGACATTAGTAATGAGTATGAGGTGGGCAGAGGTCTCCCAAAGAAACATGCAGATGACAATGACATCAACAACATCAGTCTCAGTACAGTTAGTAAGTGAACGGGTAACAGGCCAATATCTCCTCGCTAAATCCTACACCACGAGAGGGAGATTATTTGGTAAATGAATAAAGCTAATATGGTTTTATAGACTGATAATGCAGTCCTAGTCAAACCACTTGAATCTGGTCTAAATATATCCAGTCATGTAGGCCTATTTCTTTGTGTCCTTGTGCTATCCAACAGAATATGGCAGGTTAACTAACAGTGTCATGTCCAGGGGCGGAGTCCTCCTCACCCTTTGGCATATGACCCCTGACCTCTGACAAGGAGCCGTGTCAAGTCATTGGTCATGTGAAGGAGAGGAGACGAGGTAAAGAAGCTAATTCAGTCTACAGGTGAACAGCCTGTATGTCCTCGACCTTGTTAAATGACAACAGTGCCTACTCACCACGGATTAGCCTGCTGACTCATATCCGAGGCCTGGCTGATACGTTATGTTACATACCGTTGCTATGGATTCGAGCCACATCTCTGTCATGATTCAGCTCTAAATTGAGGACCCTTAAGAGAAAACAAAGGAGACAGAGTCATGACGTCAGGTCGGAAAGTAGGATATGCCCGAAAGATCCAATGGGTTTTTGAAAAGGAGACGAGGAGAGAGGCAAGAGGATGCAATTGAGATCTTCTTCATGTCTCAACTGGGGAGATCTGACCTCGTTCTACATCCTCATACACAGGTTGAATGGAATGTGTGTGTCTGAAGAGTAGAGGGAGATTAACTGATTGTAATTATGTGACATGGTTGCAGTGTCATATTATATAATGGCTTGAATGAGATGTTTAAACAGAGATGGGCTTCAGTGAGCTTTGACGTGTCAAATATGCTGCAATTAACAGACAAGGAAGTGGAGAGTGAGACATTTGTTGAAGAAGCTGATGTAGTTTGTTAGATACACTACATGGCCAAAAGTATGTGGACACTTACTTGTCGAACATCTCATTCCAGAATCATGGGCATTAATATGGAGTTTGTCTCCCCTTTGCTGCTATAACAGCCTCCACTCTTCTGGGAAGGCTTTCCACTAGATGTTGGAACATCCATTCAGCCATAAGAGCATTAGTGAGGTCGGGCACTGATGTTGGGCGATTAGGCCTGGCTCTCAGTTGGGGTTCCAATTCATCCCAAAGGTGTTCGATGGGGTTGAGGTCAGGGCTCTGTGCAGGCCAGTCAAGTTCTTCCACACCGATCTCGACAAACCATTTCGGGATGGACCTCGCTTTGTACACGGGGGCATTGTCATGCTGAAACAGGAAAGGGCCTTCCCCAAACTGTTGCCACCAAGTTGGAAGCACAGAATTGTCTAGAATGTAATTGTATGCTGTATCGTTAAGATTTCCCTTCACTGGAACTAGGGGGACTAGCCTGAACCATGTAAATCAGCCCCAGACCATTACTCCTCCTCCACCAAACTTTACAGTTGGCACTATGCATACGGGCAGGTAGTTCCACTCCAGCCGACGCTTGGCATTGCGCATGGTGATCTTAGGCTTGTGTGTGTCTGCTCGGCCATGGAAACCCATTTCACAAAGCTCCCGACTAACAGTTATTGTGCTGACATTGCTTCCAGAGGCAGTTTGGAACTTGGTAGTGAGTGTTGCAACCGAGGACAGACTATTTTTATGCGCTACGCGCTTCAGTGGTCCTGTTCTGTGAGCTTGTGTGGCCTACCACTTCGCTGCTGAGCCGTTGTTGCTCCTAGACGTTTCCACTTCACAATAACAGCACTTACAGTTGACTGGGGCAGCTCTAGCAGGGCATAAATTTGAGGAACTGATTTGTTAGAAAGGTGGCATTCTATGACAGTGCCACATTGAAAGTCACTGAGCCCTTCAGTACGTGCCATTCTACTGCCAATGTTTGTCTATGGAGATTGCATGGCGGTGTCCTCGATTTTATACACCTGTCAGCAACGGGTGTGGCTGAAATAGCCAAATCCACTCATTTGAAGGGGTGTCCACATACTTTTGGGCATGTAGTGTATATTATATCAAAACAGGTACATGCACTCCATCTAGTGGTCATATCTTACAAAGCAAAAAGTGACAGCCAAGATCTCAATAACGTTGTAACAAACAGATCAGAATTCAAAATACAACTAATGTGATCATCCCGATTAAAAACATAATTGTATAGGACGTTTGGTCACAGTTTTAACTATATTTATAATATTGAAATTCATATTAGCTAGCTACTGTTACATATGATACTGTAGCCTATACCAAATATTGCTCTGTACAGTCTGCACACATTTACTGTAACCTTAGCTACGTAGCGAAAATGCATAGCTTCTCGTTACAGTAATAAAATCGCACAGTTCTAGAAGATACCTGCGTAGCTACAAGTAGCTATGTAGGACAAGACAGAGGTGTCCGTCTAGGTCAAAGTTTATAGAGGGGATGAGGTAACGTTAGCCACTTACCCGTCCAAGTCTTTTGCTCTGGCTGCCAGTAGTATTTATTTCCTAAATGGTCGCTGCCCACATGTTCTTTTATCACCCCAAAGGTCCGGCGTAATAGACCTCCGATCCTGCTCATATTGAGAAAATATGATATAGGCAGCTATCGTGCTCGTATACTTCACCATACAACCAGACCTATCAACTCATGTTCAATTGGATTTGTTGTTTATGCAATCTAAAAATAGATAACAGTAAGATATTTTTTGATTAGATGACTGAATCAGAGTAACCAATGAGTGCGCTTGTTATCCCAGAGCGGTTCCAAAAATCCTGACGTAACAATATGGCCACCCACACATCCCTTGTTGACTGGATGTTAGCTAGCTAGCTAAAGGGTGTTAAATAATGACATAAAATTATTCGATCGGATTTGTATCAATCCCAGATCACAAATATGTATTGTACACACAAAGCGTTTGCAAAGCTAGTTTAGTGGCTAACGATATTGAACGTGTAGATGGGTAACCAACCCGCTAGCTAACAATTAGCTAGCTATGCTAGCTTGAGAACAACCATAAACATTCCAGCAAGACTAGCTAGCTAAGTAATTTAAAGATTAATTTATTGTGGGAAGATGTTGGGTTTTCTAACAGCAAGACAGGCTGGACTTGACGACCCACTTCGTCTGAGACGGGCAGAGTCAACACGGAGGTGAGTGAGGGAATGTTGGCCATATCATGCATGGGAACACTATTGTTACCATTGTTTGTCGTTGTCACAGTCAAAATTGGCCATATGGTACAAATTCATGAAAACAACCATTTGCTTTTGGGACTTAATTTAAGGTTAGGCATAAGGTTAACAGTGTGGCTAGGTTTAAAGTTGTAGATACATTGTATAAATAGGCGGGGTTTGTGACTGGCTGTGGTAATTAACTAGGTTTCCCTGTTGGGGTGTGGGGCTTATGCCGCATTCAAAACAACTGGGAACTCGGAAATCTCCGACTTTAGTGCGTTCATGGCAACTAAGAACTCGGTAAATAAACGAGCTCCGACTGGGAAAAATCGTTTTGCACGATCATCCTACTTAGAATTCCATGTTGGGAACTCGGGTATCTTTCGGGCATATCCTACTTTCCGACCTGACGTCATGACTCTGTCTCCTTTGTTTTCTCTTAAGGGTCCTCAATTTAGAGCTGAATCATGACAGAGATGTGGCTCGAATCCATAGCAACGGCATAAACACCATAGACATTGAAGTCATTGAGGGCAGATAGTAAGTATCATTGGTAGTAGGTCTGACAATATGTCAATTGAGGACATTATTTGTTATGATTACCATATAGCCTAGGCCTATAACATGTAACCTAATGCTGCATACTTCCGTCATCACCTGAGTTCAACATAACTTGATACATGAGCAACCTCCTACAACTCAACATAGACATGTGTTGCCTATATAGCACATCTTTAGAATCCTTCTGGTGCTATTTCATTGGGAGATAACCCTCTCCCGTGTCTGTTCTGTAGCATGCTATCTGGAGGAGCAGATGGTGTGATTGTGGTGTATGACCTGGAGAACAACAGCAGGAAACCCCAGTACACCTGTAAAGCAGTCTGCACTGTAGGCAGGTGTGTGGCTCACATACCTGGTAGCATCCACTAGATGGCAGTATCACTATGATAGTGTACTTCACAAAATATTTGTGGACGTGTGTGTGAGAGAGAAAGGCTCTGGTGTGCTGTGTGTGTGTGTGTGTGTGTGAGAGAGAGAAAGGCTCTTGTGTGTGTGTGTGTGTGTGTGTGTGTGTGAGAGAGAGAGAGAATAGCTCTGGTGGTCACTGTGAGTGTGTTTATGTTGCAGGTCCAGTCGGTATGTCCACAGGTTCAGTGTAGAGACAGTGCAGTGGTACCCGCACGACACAGGCATGTTTGTCTCCAGCTCCTTTGACAAAACCATGAAGATCTGGGACACTGAAACACTAAAGGTATACCTTACATACCTTACTCTTTGTCTCTCTCTCTCTCTGCCTCATATGCCCATATGGTGCTCTCTGTGATGAGCTAGAATTACGCTGTGCCATGGTTACCTCAGAGTCAGCTAGGAGACACCAACACTTGTTTGCAGAGGGATTTGCATTGTAACTGTCGCTCTACTCCCCTCCTCCAGCTTCCTAGTCCCATGCCCTGCTCTCCCACACTGCCATGTCCTTCTCTGCTCTCCTCCACTCCCCTCCATTCCTCTCCTCCATTCCCCTCCATTTCTCTCCTCCACTCCCCTCCATTCCTCTCCCAGTCTCACAGCTGCATCCCTAATTTCTGTCTCCTGGTCCCATTGTGTCAGTCAGTCACGAGTGTTCTTTCCAATTGTACTGGCTGACTGGCCGGCTGACCGACTGACTGAACAGTGGTTTTCTATACATTTTTGCTCTTCCCATCTGGTAGTGTTGTCTCTCTACAGCACAGAGATATCAAGTTTATGTTCAGGTTGAACTAAAGCTGATAGTTCCCTCTCCTTCCTGTGTGTCTGTAGCCCGCTGAAGTGTTCCAGTTTGAAGGAAACGTCTACAGTCACCACATGTCCCCCATTGCCATGAAACACAGCCTCATCGCAGGTGTGTGTGATAGTGTGTGTGTGTGCAACAAGCTCTCACAGTCTCACGTCAGAATTAGACGTTCATCCATGTTTCTTAAACATCAAATTTCAAAGTTGTTCCAAAAGTCACATTTTTAAGTGTTTATGGTTAACTATTTTGAGTTAATGCCTAAGGTAAGGGTTAAGGTTTGGCTTAAAAGAAACATCTAAAAAAACTACTTTCTATCGCTGGATTTCGAACATGCAACCTTTGGCACTAGAGGCAGATGCTTACGCCCATCCACCATCCCTCATCTCAGTCCAGAATGCCCTAGCAAAACCGAAACCTACTTGAAGGTAACAGCGCTCACTGTTGCCCCTAGTGGCCGGTTTCCACATCATCTCCCGACGTCCTCAGACATGGATGGACGTCGAATACTGACTTGTTTGTGTATGTGTGTTTGTGTGTCATGCGCTTAAAATATTATTTACTGTCTATGTCTTACTGATATAATCTAAGAATGAACATATGAGGCCTCAGTAAGTCAAACAAAATAAAATAAAATGTTGATTGTGAAACAGCTGTGTGGTACAGAGTGTATGCCCCTAGGGGTGTCAGGGGTTGAAACTGACTCAGGAACAGTTTAGAGAGACGTGCTGTTCTGGAGACATGACAGGAATCCAGGCTCTGCCTCCCTGCTGACAGAGCAGGACAGACTGGGTACACATACCTTCCCAATGCCCACACTGCTCTCTCTCGCTCTGTTGTTCTTTGTCTCTCTGAGATTTTCCCCGAACTCAAAACAAAATGCCATGAAGTCTTTCAATTACACATTTTACTGATGGAGCAATCAACCTTTTTCTGGAAAGTTCTGGTGGTGCTAGAATTATCAGAATTTGACAGGCGGACCAGAATTATCATTTTATTTCTAACGGGTTTCAAACAGATGGACCCAACCCTGGTTATTTTGTGTCCATCCCTGTCAACACTAGCTCCCTGACAGCTCTCATCCCCTATGTGAATTATGTGTGTTATTAGCTCATGTTTATCCAAGAGTAGAACTGCTCTCTTTATATACACTCCTATCTCATCTGAGAGAACCAGGGCCTTCAGTTTCTCCTCTGTCACGAAGCGTTAACACACACAGTGAAAGTAGATGTTTTTCTTTGTCTTAGTCATGTACTGTATGTAACCTCTCAATTAATCCCTTGATCTGTGTGTTCTCAGTGGGTACCAAAGACCAGAAAGTACAGCTCTGTGACCTGAAGTCTGGCTCACGCATCCAGGTTCTGCAGGGTGAGAGCCACACCCACCCACCCACCCACCCACCCCTATGTCTTACTATACTTGTGAGGACTTTTTGGGGACCAACAATTGATTCCCATTCAAAATCCTATTTTCCCTAAACTTAACCCCTAAGCCTAAAACTGGCAAAATGTCCTCACTTCTCAGAATTTTAGTCTACTATACTTGTGAGGACTTCTGGTACTCACAAATATAGTAAAACGTGTACACACATACACACTTCCACTGACTGTCCTTTCTATCCCACAGGTCACAGAGGTGAGGTCCTATCTGTCCGGTGGTCGCCAAGATATGAGCACATTTTAGCTACAGCCAGGTAGGCCAACTTACACCACACCTGGAGAGATGATCAAATCAAATTGTATTGGTCAATATCAATATTTTATTGATACAACCACAGATACAACTACCTTAAAGGGCCTTTAGATAAATGTCCCTCCCTCATTTCACGCCCAAGTATCATAGAAATGCCAATGTAGCTAGTGAAAGTGTGAAAGGGATTTACCTGAGCTCATTGCTATCTGGAAGCATTGGCACACAGATAGACTGTACCAGCCTCTATTCCCTGGGAATAACAACGCAGCATATGGCAGGGAGAGAGTACTCCGCTGGTTTACGCCAAATTAGATCAGCTAATTAAACCATTGGGATCAAATCACTGTCCCTTTGGGCTGTAAGTGATTTGAAAAACAACTGAGCAGCATTTCAACTGCTACTGATAACATGGGCAATTGGACAGTGAAGCACACTGTCTTTGGAAATGTTGTATGGAGTGAGATTCTTTTTTTATACGGAGGGCTGTTTTGAGGAAATGTGAGGCACTATAGCTGGACAATTTAAGGGACTGTGTTGCCTTGTTGTAGTGTTACGTTGTTGATGCCCAGTGATGTGAACCTTCATCTGCAGACCAGTTAGGGGACATTTCTACATTATATCCCCATAGGGCCATAAGGGGCTGACACATGTCCCCTGAGGGATAGGTGAGGGATGGAAGGCTGTTGATTTAGGGTTCTCATGTCTCTCTCTCTCTCTCTCTCTCACTCTCTTTCTGTTGCTCTGTCTCTCTATTTCTCTATCTCTCTCTCTCTGTTGCTGTCTCTCTATTTCTCTCTCTCTCTGTTGCTCTGTCTCTCTCTCTCGCTCTGTCTCTGTCTTTCTCTCTCAGTACTGACAGCAGGGTGTTGGTATGGGATGTGCGTCGGGCCTCAGGGAGTCTGTTCTCTCTGGACCAACACAACGGGGACAAGTCCAAGACCTCGTCAGACGCAGGTAGGAACAAACTGTCAGACTTCCCCCCTCTCCCTGACTCCCCCCACAGCCACACAACACATCAGACATCTCAAGCAGAGGACCACTAATGTATACACCTCCAGTTTACCTCATTGGAACAATGCTGGTGTTATGACACCTATTAGTACTGCGCACACACACACACACACACACACACACACACACTGAACAGACCTGCATAGCCAGTGCATCTATCTGATGCAACATTGTGAAATTCACAAAATTCACTTATCCATTTGTCATCAGCAAAGCTTAGTTGTAATAACAAGGTGTCTCACTGGAGGCGAGCTGTAGGCTACATTCTCGAGATGTCTGTCTGTCCTCTCCCTGCTCCCTGACCCCCTGGCTATGAGAGAACAGCTCCTAGCTATGGGGGGAAACCAGTTTCTACTCTACTAGCCCGGGAGCAAATGCTTTTGCTTGCTGATTGCTGTTTGCTATTGATGGAAAGAAAACTGATACAAAGAGAGAGAAACCATTTAAGGGTGAGAGATGGGTAGAGAGAAAAGAGCTGGTTGGAGAGATGTCTACGTGATAGTGAAAGAGTGGTGACAACACCTCCTTTGGCCGCCATTCCTTCCAGTTCTCTGCTGCCAATGACTGGAACGAATTGCAAAAATCTCTGAAGCTGGAGACTCTTATCTCCCTCACTAACTTTAAGCATCAGTTGTCAGAGCACCTTACCGATCACTGCACCTGTACACAGCCCATCTGAAATTAGCCCACCCAACTACCTCATCCCTATATTGTTATTTATTTTGCTCTTTTGCACCCCAGTATCTCTATTTGCACATAATCTCTTGCACATCTAGCATTCCAGTGTTAATACTATTGTAATTATTTTGCACTATAGCCTATTTATTGCCTTACCTCCATAACTTGCTACATTTGCACACACTGTATATATATTTTCTGTTGTATTTTTGACTTTATGTTTTTTACCCCATATGTAACTCTGTGTTGTTTTTATCGCACTGCTTTGCTTTATCTTGGCCAGGTCGCAGTTGTAAATGAGAACTTGTTCTCAACTGGCTTACCTGGTGAAAAAAAAAAAAAAAAAAAAAAAAAAATTTATGGGGTAAAGAGAAGTGATAAAGGGTTGAGTGACATGATTACCAAACGCTCTTCCCAGATAAAACTGTGTCCTTTCCCCTTAAATAATAGTTACATTATCTCATTGGCGTTTAATGACGCGTGTGTGTTTGCCAGTGAACACAGCCCATAATGGAAGGGTAAATGGCCTCTGCTTCACGGTGGACGGCCTCTACCTTCTCACCACGGGAACAGACGACCGCATGAGACTGTGGAACAGCGCCAATGGAAAGAACACACTGGTAGGTTATGTGTGTGTGTGTGAGAGATACAGAGAGAGAGAGAGAGAAAGAAAGAGAGGGTGGAAAAGTTGTCTGGCGGGGATCCAATGGATGAGGGTGAGGACAAGGCTCTACCCCTGATGCCCTGTGTGTGTTTGTGTGCGTGCGTGCACGTTTCCTGCCCATCCCTGGAGGCCTTGTCTGTAACACATTACATAGCGCGTGTGGCTCTTCCAGGCCTTACCCTAAATGATCAGTAGCCATCCCTCTCTGCGACAGCGGCCTCGGCACTAAGGGACATCAGTGTGCCTTGTGCCTCTAACCCCATTACCTCCCATACATAAACTTCCCCTCACTAACTGGGTCTGCAGGTGAAGGCCTCAAGCCTTCACATAAAGGTCCTGTGCTGCTTTAGGTTAGGAGAAACAGGTTTGCCTGCATGATGACTTGAAGACATATATCCCTTTCATACACAGACCAAAATCCCACTAATATACCATGCCTGCATTTTTATACCAGCTTTTTCGTATATCTGAAAGGGGTAGGGGGTAAAACATGGAAAAATTGAATAAAAGCCACCTAAAGACCTAGTCATGATTCCTGTATTTTCACAGACCCTGTAACCAAAATACAGGAATCAGGTCTGTGTGAATGGTGCTCTGCTTTTTGCAGGTAAATTCATTAACACTTCCATTGTTTAACACCTCCCTAATTTGAACTGCAAACAGCCTCCATGGTTTAACAACACCCCCCATCCCTCCCCAATTAGACAGTTACCCACTGAAATAAGTGGTAAGTAAGGGGCTGTATGAAAGGGGGTCATATAAACATTGCCTTATTTTTTACAGGTAACATACCACATCTTCTGTCTGAAATGGGTTATACAGTACATCTTTAAACATTGAACTCGACGAATCCGAGGGAAGCCCACTTTAGCTGGCGTAGTCCGTATCAGTACAACACATGTTGAGGTCTATATTTAACCTGGTTTCTGAATTCCTCCATGCTTATGACCACTCTACATAATGTACTGTAGCAGTTTGATAGTTGAAGTGCTGTTCTACTGTTAGCTTGGTCATCCATCCAACTGACCTTCCCAACTGCTCTCTGTCTCTCAGGTGAACTATGGGAAGGTGAGTAACGAAAGCCGTAAGGGGTTAAAGATCACGGTGTCTCGTGGCTGCAGCCCGGAGTTTGTGTTTGTACCTTGTGGCAGCTCGGTGGCTGTGTATGCTCTACACACCGGGGAACTTGTGACCATGCTGAGGGGACACTACAACAACGTGGACTGCTGCCAGTTCCACCCCGACTACCAGGTGACTGACTGACTGTCTGCCTGTCTGTCTGTCGGTGCATCTGTCCATCCTTTATGGCTATAGACTAATAAGAAATGACAGTGTTATTAACGTCATTATGTTTGTTCATTATCAATACCTTACGCATGTTCATGTAAATCAGCTCATGTGCCATCATATTGTTCCTAAGTTGAGCCAAGGTCTCTGAGACGTGGGTCATATTCATTAGTGCACACTGGAGCAAACCATAGCAAAATGTTTTGCATTGGAAAACCTGGTAGGTCCCTCCCTGTTTCTACCCATTTGCTTCTGTTTGGTTCCTAATGAATACAACCCTAGCAGACCAGAGGCCTTGAAGGCCTCCTGTACCTCACAGAGAATCATAACAAATTCATATTCTACCCACATTATCAGGATCCTGCGCGTAGATAGCTGACGCATTGTCAGTTTGTTATGGTACAGTCGTCACAGATGATATGATAACCTGCCATGGAAGGTACGGAACACTGTGGCCATTCACTAATGTTAATCAGAGAAAATACTGAATTGAGACGGCCTCACCTCTTTTGCATTTTCCTGTTAATGGTTAAGGTTAGCAGGACAAGATCTGTGAGGTGTAGTGGGGGAGTGTTTGAGGTAGGCTACAGTAGGTAACTTACCCTTGAATAGATTACATATTAAAGTCAACATCCTCATGTAAAGCCATTAGCCATGGCCTAGTCACAGGGGTATGAAAAACAATTGGGCCTTAATGATTATAAAGGTGAAGGCCAGAAATCAGTTTGTTCTCTTTTATGGAGAGTTTTGTTTACTTGTCAAAGTACTGCAATGGGAGGTTTGTTGAAGAACGGGGTAGTGCAATGTCATATCATCCGATAACATCTCCTTTTACCAAGGCATGTCTTTCCTTTCTTTACTCCAACTGCTATACCACGTAACGGCGCATAAATTCCCTTATACTGCCCTACCAAGCAAAAAGGCAGTAACTGCTCATAGCGTGGAACTGAGGAAAACGGCTTTTATTTACCTTGGTTTCACAGTAACCTTATGCAGTTACTGCTAACATGACCCCCATTTTCTCCAAAACACAATACAATAGAGGCAGGATACTTGTCCACATGATTAAGCATGTATTTAATGTAGCAAAAATGACATTAACTCATTTTGGACCAAATTTGCAGTTAGTCTTTTTGCTTGGTAGGGCAGTATACATGATTATACAGTTTCCTTAGTATCTCAGTGTTATGCATATCCTACTCATGCACATCACATTTCATATCTCATCACAGTAGTATTTGTGTTAGACATTAGTTATGGTGTCAGAGTATATCCGCCTAACGTCCTACTTACTAAAGCTGTAAGAATGTGGCGGAGCAACTAGTGTTTGTTTATTTGGAAAGAACACATAGTTCTGGAATTTATTTTTTGCTTCTTGTCTTTTTTAGTTGAAGTAGGCTAATGCCACATTTTACATTTAGTCATTTACCAGATACTTTTATCCAGAGTGACTTAAAGGAGCAATTAGGGTTGAGTGCCTTGCTCAAGGGCAGATCGACCGATTTTTCACCTAGTCGACTTAGGGATTCAAACAAGCGACCTTTCGGTTACTGGCCCAACACTCTTAACCGCTAGCTACCTGCCACCCACAAATACACCTCTTCAAATGATTGGCAGGTTTGGACTTGATGAACTTCTATTGGTTGTTTTCCTGGATGATGATTATGTCATTGTTTTGAGTCTAGTGTTTCATAAGGTAGACACTGCTGTAATAACTCTGGACAGGATACTTCCCCAACATGTTTCTTTCCACTTGACAAACTTGGCTAATTTAGGACCAAATGCTAACATGTGTATATGGGACACAGAGATTAAACCAAATGGGAGTTGAGGTGCAGACAAAATGGGTACAAGAGCAGCCAGGACCAGAGCCATATATTTAGATAAATATATGGCTCTGGCCGGGACGTAAAGAGCACAGAGTATTGAGACCCAGGCTAAAGCACTCCTCTCTTCTGCGTGTTTCCAGGAGCTGTACAGCGGAGGTAAAGACTGTAACATCCTAGCCTGGGTTCCTGTTCTACGACCCCCAGACATGGAAGGAGAAGGGACAGCCGCCAAGGTAGGAGGCTACACAGCAGGAAAAATGAAAGAATGCTCGGCCCTCCTGTAGCTCAGTTGGTAGAGCATGGCGCTTGCAACGCCAGTGTTGTGGGTTCGATTCCCACGGGGGGCCAGTATGAAAAATATATGCACTCACTAACTGTAAGTCACTCTGGATAAGAGCGTCTGCTAAATGACTAAAATGTAAATGTAATAATACGCAGGTCCCTGTTCTCATTCTAAAATGCTGTCACATTAGCCAGACTAATAGACAGGCATCTAGTAGGACCTTATTATTTGATACCAGTCCATTTACATTTTAGTCATTTAGCAGATGCTCTTATCCAGAGCGACTTACAGGAACAATTAGGGGTAAGTGCCTTGCTCAAGGGCACATCGGCAGATTTTTCACCTAGTCGGCTCTGGGACCAGTCACGACAATGCAAACAAACTTCGCCTTTGTGCACACAGAAATTAGATCATAGGGGTTGTGGCTTATGCAGCACCTTACTAGGGTAACTCGGTACACACACACACACACACACACAGCCTCAACTTGGCTACATTCCCCAGGTGCTGATGAAATTATGTCTATAGGCATCTTCAGCCAGCTCCCAATGCAGTGTCACCAGTTATATTTAGTTTTGGAAACAGAATAATAATTGCTTGCTTGCACTTGGGAAATGTTTGTAATGCTTTCCTGATTACTTAATCGCTTTAACTCAAAACAACACGAGAGTAGAGAGTATTTTACTGAATGTGTTTCTCCATCCCAGGGTGGGAGCCAGGCTATGGTGAACCATGCTTTTGAAGACGCATGGAGCAGTGATGAGGACTGATGCATAAACACAACCACCTGTACAGCCCTACTCCATCGGACATAGTGTATATTTCCATTTTGTATAAAAAGCTAAGTGTACGAAACATTAGGAACACTTTCCTAATATTGAGTTGCACCACCTTTTGCCCTCAGAACAGCCTAAATTCGTCGGGACGTGGACTCTACAAGGTGGCGAAAGCGTTCCACAGGGATGCTGGCCCATGTTGACTCCAACCCACAGTTGTCAAGTTGGTTGGATGTCCTTTGGGTGGTGGACCATTCTTGATACACATGGGAAACTGTTGAGTGTGAAAACCCAGCGGTGCACAATTGGCCCAGCGTAGTCCAGGGTAGGGGCGGGAATGGCCGGCAGGGATGTAGCTCAATTGGTAGAGCATGGCGTTTGCAACGCCAGGGTTGTGGGTTCGATTCCCACGGGGGGCCAGTATGAAAAAAATAAAATAATGTATGCACTCACTAACTGTAAGTCGCTCTGGATAAGAGCGTCTGCTAAATGACTGTAAATGTAAACAATTTGACATAAACGGTTTTATATTGACGTGTCAATAAAAAAAACATCCATCAACCTAAATTTATATGAATGCTGTAAGTACAGAAATGGTTTGCTCACTAGGAAATGAATATGAATATCCAACCAGTCAGTGACAACTGTTTGGAGTTTGTGACAGCAATTATGTAAGCTTATTACAGTATTGTAAACACTATGTCCTGGGATTTGGTATGCTCTTCTATGTAGAACATTTGACATTTTTTTCCTCATGCATGTATAATATCATTTCACTGCTTGAGACACACCCAGAGGTGTTTGTTGAAGAACACTACAGTGGGGAAAAAAAGTATTTAGTCAGCCACCAATTGTGCAAGTTCTCCCACTTAAAAAGATGAGAGAGGCCTGTAATTTTCATCATAGGTACACGTCAACTATGACAGACAAATTGAGTTTTTTTTTCTCCAGAAAATCACATTGTAGGATTTTTAATGAATTTATTTGCAAATTATGGTGGAAAATAAGTATTTGGTCACCTACAAACAAGCAAGATTTCTGGCTCTGACAGACCTGTAACTTCTTCTTTAAGAGGCTCCTCTGTCCTCCACTCGTTACCTGTATTAATGGCACCTGTTTGAACTTGTTATCAGTATAAAAGACACCTGTCCACAACCTCAAACAGTCACACTCCAAACTCCACTATGGCCAAGACCAAAGAGCTGTCAAAGGACATTAGAAACAAAATTGTAGACCTGCACCAGGCTGGGAAGACTGAATCTGCAATAGGTAAGCAGCTTGGTTTGAAGAAATCAACTGTGGGAGCAATTATTAGGAAATGGAAGACACTGATTATCTCCCTCGATCTGGGGCTCCACGCAAGATCTCACCCCGTGGGGTCAAAATGATCACAAGAACGGTGAGCAAAAATCCCAGAACCACACGGGGGGACCTAGTGAATGACCTGCAGAGAGCTGGGACCAAAGTAACAAAGCCTACCATCAGGTAACACACTACGCCGCCAGGGACTCAAATCCTGCAGTGCCAGACGTGTCCCCCTGCTTAAGCCAGTACATGTCCAGGCCCGTCTGAAGTTTGCTAGAGTGCATTTGGATGATCCAGAAGAGGATTGGGAGAATGTCATATGGTCAGATAAAACCAAAATAGAACTTTTTGGTAAAAACTCAACTCGTTGTGTTTGGAGGACAAAGAATGCTGAGTTGCATCCAAAGAACACCATACCTACTGTGAAGCATGGGGGTGGAAACATCATGTGTTGGGGCTGTTTTTCTGCAAAGGGACCAGGACGACTGATCCGTGTAAAGGAAAGAATGAATGGGGCCATGTATCGTGAGATTTTGAGTGAAAACCTCCTTCCATCAGCAAGGGCATTGAAGATGAAACGTGGCTGGGTCTTTCAGCATGACAATGATCCCAAACACACCGCCCGGGCAACGAAGGAGTGGCTTCGTAAGAAGCATTTCAAGGTCCTGGAGTGGCCTAGCCAGTCTCCAGATCTCAACCCCATAGAAAATCTTTGGAGGGAGTTGAAAGTCCGTGTTGCCCAGCGACAGCCCCAAAACATCACTGCTCTAGAGGAGATCTGCATGGAGGAATGGGCCAAAATACCAGCAACAGTGTGTGAAAACCTTGTGAAGACTTACAGAAAACATTTGACCTGTGTCATTGCCAACAGGGTATATAACAAAGTATTGAGAAACTTTTGTTATTGACCAAATACTTATTTTCCACCATAATTTGCAAATAAATTCATTAAAAATCCTACAATGTGATTTTCTGGATTTTTTTCCTCAATTTGTCTGTCATAGTTGACGTGTACCTATGATGAAAATTACAGGCCTCTCTCATCTTTTTAAGTGGGAGAACTTGCACAATTGGTGGCTGACTAAATACTTTTTTTCCCCACTGTACTTCCAAAGTTGTGGAAAAATGGCTTAAGGACAACATAGTCAATGTATTGGAGTGGCCATCACAAAGCCCTGACCTCAAACCTATAGAACATTTGTGTGCAGAACTGAAAAAGCGTGTGCGAGCAAGGAGGCCTACAAACCTGACTCAGTTACACCAGCTCTGTCAGGAGGAATGGGCCAAAATTCAACCAACTTATTGTGGGAAGCTTGTGGAAGGCTACCCGAAACGTTTGACCCAAGTTAAACAATTTAAAGGCAATGCTACCAAATACTAATTGAGTGTAAGTAAACTTCTGACCCACTGGGAATGTGATGAAATAAATAAAAGCTGAAATAAATCATTCTCTCTACTATTATTCTGACATTTCACATTCTTAAAATAAAATGGTGATCCTAACTGACCTAAGACAGGGAATTTTTACTAGGATTAAATGTCAGGAATTGTGAAAAACTGAGTTTAAATGTATTTGGCTAATGTGTATGTAAACTTCCGACTTCAACTGTACATACATAACCAGTCAAAAGTTTGGACACACCTACTCATTCAAAGGTTTTTCTTTATTTTTACATTGTAGAATAATAGTGAAGACATCAAAACTATGAAATAACGCATATGGAATCATGTAGTAACTAAAAATGGGTTAAACAAATCAAAATATATTTGAGATTCTTCAAAGTAGCTACCCTTTGCCTCAACAGCTTTGCACACTCTTGGCATTCTCTCAATCAGCTTCACCTGGAATGCTTTTCCAACAGTCTTGAAGAAGTTCCCACATATGCGGAGCACTTGTTGGCTGCTTTTCCTTCACTCTGCGGTCCGACTCATCCCAAACCATCTCAATTGGGTTGAGGTCAGGGGATTGTGGAGGCCAGGTCATCTGATGCAGCACTCCATCACTCTCCTTCTTGGTAAAATAGCCCTTACACAGCCTGGAGGTGTGTTGGGTCATTGTCCTGTTGAAAAACAAATGATAGTCCCACTAAACCCAAACCAGATGGGATGGCTTATCGCTGCAGAATTCTGTGGTAGCCATGCTGGTTAAGTGTGCCTTGAATTCTAAATAAATCACAGACATTGTCACCAGCAAAGTACCCCAACACCATAACACCTCCTCCTCCATGCTTTACGGTGGGAACCACACATGCGGAGATCATCCATTCACACGGTTGGAACCAAAAATGTATAATTTGGACTCCAGACCAAAGGACACATTTCCACCATGTCCATTGCTTGTGTTTCTTGGCCCAAGCAGGTCTCTTCTTATTATTGGTGTCCTTTAGTAGTGGTTTCTTTGCAGCAATTCGACCATGAAGGCCTGATTCACACAGTCCCCTCTGAACAGTTGATGTTGAGATGTGTCTGTTACTTGAACTCTGTGAAGCATTTATTTGGGCTGCAATTTCTGAGGCTGGTAAATCTAATGAACTTATCCTCTGCAGCAGAGGTAACTCTGGGTCTTCCATTTCTGTGGCGGTCCTCATGAGAGCCAGTTTCATCATAGCGCTTGATAGTTTTTGCGACTGCACTTGAAGAAACGTTCAAAGTTCTTGAAATGTTCCGTATTGACTGACCTTCATGTCTTAAAGTAATGATGGACTGTCATTTCTCTTTGCTTATTTGAGCTGTTCTTGCCATAATATGGAGTTGGTCTTTTACCAAATAGGGCTATCTTCTGTCTACCTTGTCACAACACAACTGATTGTCTCAAACACATTAAGAAGTTAAGAAATTCCACAAACTAACTTTTAAGAAGGCACACCTGTTAATTGAAATGCATTCCAGGTGACTACCTCATGAAGCTGGTTGAGAGAATGCCAAGAGTGTGCAAAGCTGTCATCAAGGCAAAGGGTGGCTATTTGAAGAATCTCAAATATATTTTGATTTTAGCCAATTTCGCCGTCAGACAGAACGAGACACCCAGCTCATGCCTAGGAGGCAGACCGGTTCCTAAATCACTTTTCACCTGGTGCAAACGTCGCCTACCCAGGAGCTCGTGCCAGATTAAGAATCCTCTCATTGATAACGTCTAGTTTGAATGTATTCTTCCTTTTTCTTGGACCTGAGTCTCCGCCCTCCTTTCTCATCAATGAAGGGATTCGATTATCTGGCCAAGTTTACCCCGAAGAGAGGAGTTTACAACGGGTGAAAGTGATTGCATTTGTTTTGGAACTGGGCTGCCTCCCGGGCATGAGTCGTCTTTCTTGTTCTGGCTAATGGCGAAGTCGACTCAAAACAAAAGTGACGTAGTCTACGATATTAAACACTTGGAGTAATATGTAGAATTCTGTTTTCACATACAAAAGCCATTGCTTTTGATGAACACGCTTGATCTGCCTCCCAATGAAAACGAATTAGAAAATTCAAACACATTTTATGGAAAATTGATGTTTTATGTTTCTGGACGATATGCACTATGCTGCCATCTTGACAATATGACCGAGCGGCGCAAAAGAGCGTTCCTCCCTCACTGCTTTTGCCCGTTCACGTCAAGGGCCATAGACCGGTGCCCCGCGGTTCAGGTTAACAGAGCTCCCTCATTGCACGGCAGTTGCACAGTAGGGAAGGGACTTCGGGACTCTGCAAATTGAGTTTGACACACCTTTCGTCAATTGCTTACAGCTGCGCCACAGGCGAGGCGGAGGAGTAACGTAAGACCGAGTATTAGGATACTTCTCTCACAATATTGGA